TAATTAATAAATAAATATCAGTTTTCCCAGTCATTAAACCTCTTTCCTCCTTTGTGTGATGAATACATATAAAACTTTGTGTCAGAAAAAAGCAACAGTGGGAAAAAATTTATCTTTGAAAAAGTATTAAATACTTTAATTTCAATAAACATATGCTAAACATTATACAATTCTCCAGAAATTATTTATAAAAGCTTATTTATGAATTTAGATCCATGGTTCATCAGCCTAAAGTTAATGCAACCATGTTTTAAAAAGCCCACATATTCCTGTTATTTTCATAATTCCTGCCATTTAGCTAAGCAGCATTTTAACTGAGGAAAGGTAATGTTTCTTCATTTACTAACTGTATATTTCTTTCCAAGTACGTACAGATTTGAGACAGTTTTTTAGGTCTTACAAGGTGCTATGTCATTCATATAGTCCACTAAAATGATTAATAAGATGTGTAATATTATCTAATATACTGTTATTTATTCAGTGTAGTTCAAGAATATATTTCCCAAAAAAAACACTATTTTTTGAGGAGTCCACCAAATACGATAGCTGTATTAGATGGGAAGTTCAACAAGAATCATATATTGCAATCTTATCTAAGTACATTATATATGTAATGTTTAGTGTTCCTAACAATCTGTAACATCAGTTAGCAGGCTGACTAGTTATAGAATTACTTCTGCTTGTACAGACTTGGTCCTTGTTACCCTTGGATGCTTTCATATATAATCAAGTATTTGTTCCCACCCCCTTGGGTCTCTTGCTTTTGAATTTTCCTTTTCCAGATGTGCTCCACTGATTATAAAGCCTTGGCATCCAGCCATTGAAAATCTGATGAACCTTGTGTTGCTCTGCTACTATGTTACCATATAAGTTGGATGTTCTTAAATGTCCTTTCTGCATTTATCATTTTGGAACAGTAAGTATAATGGAAAGTTCAGTATTGTATTTAAATATAATAGAAAACATTTTTTTTCATTCTTTGTTAACAATATAGGTAATGGGAACCATATGAAGTCATGCTGCTGCTTTTGTCCTGCAAATTAGATGTGAATGAATCAGGTAAGAATTGTGATTTTTAATCAATTTAATTAAAATGCTAGGTGTATAGTTCCTTTTCCTTTGGGTATTATATGGAAAGAAAATAGGCCTTTCTGTTAGAAAAAAGCATATATGTTTAGAAGAATAATGGTAGTTTATGACATTATTAAATTGATGTCCATGTAGTTGTGTGAATAAATGCTTCATGCCCATTACTCATAGAAAAAGATGCTCACAGTTCCTGACAGTCTCATTTCATGTTTTGTACTTTTATTTCTTCCTTCCTAAAAAGATACATAGTAACATGAATAAGAATACTTGAACTGTAGATAATTTTCTATAGAAAACAAAGTTCCACTAAACTGAGAACCAAATTAAATGCAACGTCAAAGTAAAAGGTAAATGACAAATTCTGGCTTAGAACTGCAACATAGGTGTAAGAAATTTTAGGAGATTTTTTTACCAATGCAGATAGGAGATAGTGGGAATGTGAAGGGAAGCCAGTCTGGAGTAGGATCACTGTGTGTGCCTCTGTGTAGGAAAGCTAAATTATCCATAATTTCCCAGGATTATAGTCTGGATTCCCTCCCACTCTGACTGTTCTTGCAAATTACTCTGAAAAACCACTTGCACAATTCTTACTTGCATTAATGGTAGTAATTGACTCTAATTTGCATGTATCATATCAGTATATGATGTAAATAAATGCTAATATGCATATAATCCACGTTCGTTTTAAGAATTTATTTACTGCTCACTGCTTCCTGAATTCCTAGTTATTGTATTCTCTTAAATACAGTGAAGTAGGTAAATGTAATTGAAAGTTTCTAGACATTAATATGAAACACACTAGCACGTACTAGTATATCTGATTTCAGTTTCCATGTGTATATGTCAGATATTTGTAAGTTAAGGCTGCAGTCCTAAACATGCTTATTCCCATAGAAAGAGTAAGATTTTCTGAATATAGTAGGACATCTATTTAAATCAGATATTTTTTGAATTGCCATCTTGTGTAAGATATACTGAAAAAAAACACACAGATTTAAGCATGGTAATACAGTATCTGTTTGAAACTGCTTTTAATGGGAGCAGTTCTACCTTTGTTTCATACATTTCTTTTTTACAAGAAGGTTGCTGATGAAAAATAGAAATATTTGAAAAGACAAATTTCTGTTCTGTAAAAAAAAATCAAGATACAAATGATTCTTTACTTTCTGATTCATAGTCCAGAATGTAGTAGTTTTGTTCCTGATTGATTGTAAATGGAGATCAAAGTATGGCAGCTGCAGTTTGTCAGTGGAGTTATCTGACAAACAGCTTTTTCTCTCAGAGCCTTCTTCTCACTGTACTTCTGATACTATCATGATCCTCTTCTAGGCTACAGCGAGTCAACCTCTTAAACATTTCTTAACTTCTTGCATGTGTGTGTGAGTGTGTGTATGTGTACAGGTAGTCCCCAGGTTAAGAACGCCCGGTTTAAGACCCATCATTGAGAACAGATCCTATTGTAGCAAAATTCGAGTTAAATACACAATGATTTGAGTTAAATGTACAATGTTCCGAGTTAATTACACAATACTACTTGTACAGTATTGTACAATGATACTGTTCTGGCTTACATACACATTTGACTTAAGGACGGACCTGGGGAACAACTCATTCTTAAACTGGGGACTACCTGTATGTGTATGTGTATGTGTATGTGTATATGTATATGTATATGTATATGTATATGTGTGTGTGTGTGTGTGTGTGTATTTGTCATAATACATTTAAAAATTTTTATACTGTACAGGAGAAAAATACTGATCTTTAGAAAAATGTAACTTTAATGTGTTCCACATACACATTTGACTTAAGGACGGACCTGGGGAACAACTCATTCTTAAACTGGGGACTACCTGTATGTGTATGTGTATGTGTATATGTATATGTATATGTATATGTATATGTGTGTGTGTGTGTGTGTGTGTATTTGTCATAATACATTTAAAAATTTTTATACTGTACAGGAGAAAAATACCATACACATTTGACTTAAGGACGGACCTGGGGAACAACTCATTCTTAAACTGGGGACTACCTGTATGTGTATGTGTATGTGTATGTGTATATGTATATGTATATGTATATGTGTGTGTGTGTGTGTATTTGTCATAATACATTTAAAAATTTTTATACTGTACAGGAGAA